GGCTAGAACTATTTGGCTAAAATTAAAAAACTTTTATTGCATAGACGTATCGGCACTTCGATTGTGACCCTTATTTGTTTTATTTTTAAAGGTTGTCGATTAATAATATTACATATTTATTTTTGGCTCGTAGAGAATTATACGAACAAATACAACAAAAGGTGAATGAAACTAAATTAACTACTTTAACAATAGATAAAGCGCTTTTCACACAAAATACTTAAACGACTAGAATACATGCGAAGCAGTTAACTTGATTTGAGCTCGTCAAATGCGCGTATTTTTGGGCACGCTTTTTGATTCGAATCGAAATTCAAGTAGCCAAGTATTGGCCGGGCCAAAAGCTTTCCCCTCACTTTTTGCTTTTCGCTGGCATTGCACTTTGTCAACACTTTTGGCCACTTGAACATGAGAATTGTTTTGCCAGCAACGCATGGGGATGTAGCTCAGATGGTAGAGCGCTCGCTTAGCATGTGAGAGGTACGGGGATCGATGCCCCGCATCTCCAAGTTATACAAAATCCAAGAATGGACTTTTTTGCTACCGCCGATAGACGAAACAAATACGCAGACGTCTGCATTTTTGATAGGCAAGAAGCAGGCGCATTAATGAATATTCAAAGGCCGCTTTGTAACTGCCAAACGACTTTGGCATTAGATGCCTCCCAGACTGCATGCGCCCCGTGCGGCGCCCTCATGTCGACAATCAGGTCGCGTAATTTGATTTGGCGCCCATTCCAAGGGGCGGGCAACACACGGAGAACAGAACGAACACATTGTCGCACATAAATCAGGCACAATATGCCAATGTTTGTTTACTCGCCTGCATTCGCAGAACTTTGCCAGCAATTAAACAAGCAGCCAAAGCCAGAAACATGGTCCCTGGACGAACAGGAGTATGGGCGGGTCGGGTGGCTGCCACAGGCAGCCGCAGGCGACACACAGGAAGCAGAGTAAACTCTGGGGTCCACGGAAAGGAAAGGTTTGGGTATTGTAAATGATACATGATGTGCTATTTATGAGAAGCCTTTGTTTTAATTTTTGCACCGCACACAGGACAAAGTTTTCTTCCCGGACGACTGCTAAGCTAAGCTAGTTAAGCTGTTGCTGTCCTCTTCTCAAAATTTATGTGTTTTGCTATTTTTTAATTGTTTTAAGTGTTTTGTTATGTTGTGGATTTCTCTTTTTTTATTGTTATTTTTCAATACTGACAGAAAGAAGAAAAAAATATAAAAAGAACAACTTTATCCTTGGAGATGCGGGGCATCGATCCCCGTACCTCTCACATGCTAAGCGAGCGCTCTACCATCTGAGCTACATCCCCTTGTTGCGCTGACTCATAGAAAGGCTCAATAACTATCGCAGTTTTTATACCCAGTCCACCAACTTGTCGCCCACCGAAATCCAATTACAATTAATGTAGATTCAATTGAAATTCAAGCGACGTCGGAATGTGGCCCAGATTGACTTTTAAGCTTGGCCTGAACTGGTTTGCGGTGGTCAACCTGACTTGCATAGTTGTATGCCATGTCTTACTTGGGTGTGGAACGAATGGTCATGATTTTCATGATTCAAAGATCAAAGACAATAATTTTTGTCACAGAGCTTAACAGAAGAGATTTTTGTTATACACAAATTGTACTCATAACATTTAATTATATTTCTAATATGTTACGTTCTTGAAAAACTTGGATTCTTATAATCCAACCTTTTTTGAAGTTTTGCTGGCTCTAATATGGCAACAATATGCGTGGCTGCACCTAAACAATTTTGTGAGCATTTTTAATTTTCTAAAAGAAAACACCTTTCAAAATTGACATTTATCGATATTACGATATTATTATAGCAGTAGATATCGATAAAATATAAATATATATGCATCATGCATATATATATATAACATATATATAACAAAATATGAAAAGTAAAAGGTTTTGATCAAAATAAACAAGTTAGAACGTTGCAGTGGAGTGCAACAGACTGCTCAATACTCTGTAATAAGCTGTAGTTGCCTATTAAATCAGTTAAAATAAATATTCTTAATTATTGTTTGAGTTCTTTACTGTCCGACTGTCAAGCATATTGACTTTATATTAATTTGAACAGAGTAAAAAAAAACAGAATAGCCTTTTCTTCGCTTTCAATTTGCAACGTTTTTTGACTTGAACAAAAACCACAATTAAATGTCGATTTTATGCAAAGCTTGTTTATTATGAGAGCCCGCCCCCGTAATAATGTGCCTATACGAGTATCTTGTACACAATTTGTGTTTTGGGCTTTAATTAAAACCAAACAAAACAGGAGCACGCCTGTCAACGAGTCACCCGTTGAAGCCGTCGAGAAAAGTTGAAAATTACCTCAAGCTGTTGCACATCAAGACCGAAGAGCCCGTGGCTCGAAGGCGGGAATACCGTAGCCCCCTTCAGCAGAATGTACCCCAGAACCAACCCACTAATTGCTTCTGTCTACTATTGTTGTTGTTGTTTTATCAGTGAAACATTGTGAAAACATGTGGGAAGCGTGTCCCCGCTTAAAAAGACATTACGAGCACATCGCGTAAGCAGCAACAATTAGTTTGTCTCATATACAACAGGGTAGCCGCGGGTGGGTGGGTACCCAGTACCCAGCCCCGGCTGCTTGGCAAGAGTTAAACGTTTTCATATTTATGAGCATCGTAAAACTCAATGATATACAAAATTAATGACTGAGGCGCCGCGAGTGGCACTTTTCCGACTTACTTTTGCTTACTTTCTGGCACCCATGCGAATCGTAAAAGAAATGTTACCTCCAAAAACTTTTGTCAGCGTGTTTACCCCGTCGTCGTTCCCCTACCTGCAAGTCAGCCAAGCGTCTTGTAATTTTAATTTCAAGACAGTCTGCGAGTTTTAGTTGCTGTCTCGAAAATATTTGCTCATAGCTTCACTCCGCAGCCCTCCCTTCTCCCTCTCCCTCTCTTCCCGCTCGCCTATCTCTAGTGTCACGTACTTTTTGCTGTTGTGACGTTTTTTTTTTTAATTGACTTGCCTTCGCCCGACACGCCCAGCTCAAGGTTCATTAGTTAGGTTGGGGCTTTGGCTTGATTTGACAAATACTTATGTAGGTGTCCTCTTGAAAGTCTCCTTCTGCTCATTAGGGCACTTGTCACACACGCCTCATGACATTTGACTTTGCCGCCCGACCCTCTGTTTCCGGCGAGCGTGCTGTGACTTTTTCCTTTCAAACTCTCGGGCCGAGAGTGGCATCCTTTTTCACTCATCACTGCATAAATTTTCTTAAGTTTTTTCTTTCCGCTATGCGTTATGCATATTAATTTTTATTTGGGACCAAAATTCTTGGACTAGGCTTTGAATTTATTTTTTTTTAGCAAAGGTAGCTCACAGCGTGTTTACTCTGGTTCATGGCGAATGGGCTTAAAAATCGAATTTAGTTTGTTTTTCTTGTGGTTCGAAATGGACCTGAAAAATATTGAGAATAATTCAAATAAGGGCAACCGCATCCTTTGTTCACTTTTGATGCATTCCAATCCTCCACATACAGATATATAAATACATATGACGAGCTACAATTTAGTTTAAATAAAAATATTAATAATAAGCACAACCATACACAGACATAATTATAAAACGAGAAAGTGAGGCACGCCGGAGATTTGATACCCTTGTAGACATTTCTCTTTTGCAGATATGTAAGAATAGAATAGAAAGAATAGAAACTCGAAAATGCAGAGTTTGATGAAAATCTCTTTCAAAACCGAACATTTTTCCATACTAGAACTTTTCGAGCGATCTAATGGCAGCTATATGATATAGTGCTCCGATGTTGATAAGATTTTACATATATATGAGAAGCTAAGAATGAATCTAATAAATGTTGAGTTTAGTCAAGATATCTTGATAAACAACGAAGTTTTCCATACAAGAACCTAATTTTTGACCGATCGTTCCTATGGCAGCTATATGATATAGTTGTCCGATCCGGATTCGGTTCCTACATATAATGTGTGCTGCCTGCAACAGAAAGACGGACCTTTGCAAAGTTTCAAGACAAAAGCTTTAAAACTGAGAAACTAGTACATAGAAACAGACAGACGGACAGTCGGACATGGCTATATCGACTCGGCTGATGCTGATCAATAATATTATAAACTTTATGGATGACTCCTTCTATGCGTTACACATTTTGAGACAAAATTATAAACCCTCTCTTGTATAAAAAGTAAAACAAAACATAAACAAAAGCAAAATAACGTTTAGTTCTTTCTTAACAAAGGTATCTAACTGTTTTTAATTCTACGAAAATAATTCGTAAAGAGAATTCGAGGATAGACTATCTAGTATATTTAAAAACTTGGTATATATTTTAAGCAGTCCTCAATATAGCCTTTTGTCGTCTTAAACCTTGCCAATGCCAGCTGCAGTCAATCTACAAGTATAGGAACTGGAAAAAATATGCAAAGCTGTTTTCCTTTAGCATAGAATTCCTTTTGGCGACATTTTTAAATTTTTAATTAGTTTAAGTTACAAATTACATTAACGAAAAGCAACACCTACGCAAGATTTGTGGTCGTATATTTTAGCATTTCTTAACGAGATTTTCGAGCGAACCCAAAACAAAAGCGGACATGCCGAAAGGCAGGTGGAAAAAATGCTCTCAACGCCAAAAGGAATTCGCACCTTTGCATACTCAAATAGGGGGGGGGGGGCGCAACGGAATGCGGAGGGGCTTGTGGTTATAAATTTTAAATCTGTTAAATTAATGGCTCAGAGTTCTTTCATTCTTACGTGCCTCAAAGTTGACTAAAACTTGGCACAAACCGAGCACGTTGCCTGATTACATTAATTATTCCTTTATTGTTTGTAGAACTTGACTTTTTTATTGTTACATGTTTTCTGTAGTTTATGTTTTTGTAATGAGCGCGAGTTTTGCCTAATTAGAATTGAATAGTATAGCAAAGCTCTGTCTTCCATACTAATGCAACTCGATTTGTATTTTTTCTTGCAGGATCCACTTATATAATAATAAAAGCAATTGTAAAAATAAAAGTAATAGCAATAATAATAATGTAAGTACACAGCATTCGTGAGCAGCGACTCCTTAAAGCTATATTTGTATGGATCTTTCTCTTTGTGCAGTGGAATAACTACTGTTCGAATCAGTACTACCCGCAAAATAATCCACGCGATTCATATCGTAAATATACACAAGACAACACAAATTGGAACCAATCGTCGAACTATCGAAAGGATAACAACAATTGGAACCAAGCTTCAAATTCAAATTCGTTGAACTCCTACGATCGCGGTGAGAGGCAAGATTTTAGACGGGATTCATCGTTCCGCGAAAGAACTGATTTTTATAGAAATTCAAGTGCGAATAGAACAGATTCCCTTGCAGGGGAATGTGCAAATAAGAACAGAGAACACGTAAACAAATCATTTCGCAGTTCCAGTTCCAGCAGGACGTGGATAAGTGGAGATCTCAAGAGTAAACGATGCGAAACACAGAACAAAAGCAGCGAAACAAATGAAAATTGTACAAAAAGTCAAGAAAGCCAATTGAATCAAAAGAGTTTTGAGAGCCCAACTAAGGAAGATCAAACTAGCAGCAATATTACGATTTCAAATCGAGAAGAAAACGAAGAAGTCCTTTCTGTACAGGATAACAAAATAGATGTAGCCGAGAACAAGTCTAAAGATACGGATACCATAAAAGAACACAAACACGCAACAAGAGAATCATCTGAAGAAAAACAAAAACCAAATTGTTTAACAGCCAAGTCTAAAGAACAAACTGAAGAAAACAATCCCATAGAACTCAAAGGAGACGAATTTAAAAGCAAGCCAGAGCGATTTAAAGAAATAGTTAAAGATAAAGACAAAGCAGCTGGAAGTCCTAGAAAAGTTGTTGGTATCCCAACCTCAACTAGAAACTACTCCGAATTAAGATTACTTAGAAATAGTATTTCGAGTGCCCTGCAACGCAATATTTGGCATAAGAGTCAGCAGAATCTATCAGAGTCCAGGCGGTGCACAAAGCTGACTCCAAGTGAAGCCGAGCTCGAGGACAGGCCAGAGCAGAGCGAAGTCAATAAAGCATATCCCAAGATACAGGTGCGACCGCTGGCCGAACTGCTCAAGCAGGAAATACTCGCCGTCACCCAGGAGCAGCTCCTGGCCAGCACAGGCTCGTCGACAGGCAGCAAAGCCAAGGTTACCCAAAGGACAGCGATCCAAGCACGTCGGCGTACTGTCAGCAGCTCCGTCAGCAATGGCCACAGCGAAAGTAGCATCAATGACCGCCTGGCCAATATGGACAAGGAGAGTCTGAAGAACATAATCAACAATAGCGATACGATATACAACGAGCATCTGAAGCTGCAGGCGCGACGACGCCTGCGCGAGGAGATACGCCGCCAGCTGAAGGCCATTGAATTGGAGCAGCCGAAGGATCATCCAGCCAAGGATCTGGTCGAGGACGAGATCGTTGACGCCATCAAGTTGCCACAGTTGTTGTTGCAAGAGATTGAAAAGTGCTTCGGCATAAACATATCAGCACCTGAGGCGGAGGACAACAGCGCCGCCGCCAGGTCAACAGAGGACGGCCAGGAGACCAATTGCGAGCTGGGTGCCAAGGAGAGCGAAACCTCCAATAAGGAAACGACTCAAGCTCAAGAGACCATTGCAACAGATCACATGGCCAAGGAGAATTCGACGGACCTGATGCAACGCCTGAAGGTGGCCGAGCACTTCAAGGCCATGTCGGGCAAGAGACTTGCCAGTGGACAGCTGATCGAAAAGGACACGAGCCAAAGCTCCGAGAGCAGCTCAGCTAAAAGTGTGGTCGGTTTGCTCAAGCCAAAGCCGCAAAGAAAAAGGACTGAGAGCAGGTGTCTAACAACTGGCAAGGAGAAGGCAGGCGCCCAGAAACAAACAGGAAAAGAGTTGCGCACTCCAGAAAAAAAATTACCCACTTCCGAAAAGGAGCTACCCACTCCGGAAAAAGAGTTACCCGCAACAGAAGCTGGGGATGAACTGAAACCCTCGCCCATTAAAAAAGAAATTGCAGTGGACTTAAGTGATTCCGAAGAAGGCTACAATGTTATTGTGGTCAGCTCTTCAGAGGATGAGGATGAGCGTGAGGATGGGGCACCGCCAGTGAATAAAGCGCCCGTTGCGGAGACAAATGGCGCCGCCAGCGATCACTCGAACTCGTCCAGCTGCAGCAGCGAGTCCACCAAGCGTCGCTACCAGCAAAAGCTGGAGAGCGATGCCAACAACATTGTGGACAGCTTTGAGAAGCTGATATTGCCCCGGCTGAAGGATTCGCTGGCGCAACGCTATCGCAGCAGCCACTGCGCCAGCCTGCAGAGTCGCCTGCACTTCATCTCCTGCGTGGTGACCAGCAGCGAGCACAACTCGCAGACATTCAGCAAAATCGAGGTGGCCAAGATGCAGCAGAATCTGAAGGCCAACGACAATCGGCTGGGCATCGACTTCCTCCTGCGCGAAGTCGTGAATGTGGTGAATCTGCAGAAGCAAACGGCGGCGGCGCGTCGCAAACAACACGTGGAGAAGGAGCAGCGTGCGCCTAACGAGCTTACCGTCAGCCCACCCGCGGTGCAGCTAAACGGATCCAAAAGCGCTGAGCTCGCGTCTGGGCCACATCAAAGGGACTGCAGCGGCGCGAATGGGGCTGAGCCAGCGGCACAGGCTTTGATGCCGCCCACGCCGCCGCGGAATGGGACGCCGACGCCGGCTAGTGTTGCGGCTGCGACGCGGCCTCTGCACGGGCTGCCCTTGGGACTGCCGTATGTGGGTCTGGATTCAACTGTGCCGCGTTTGTCGCCCGGCTGCTTCTCGCCCAGCGAGCCCATCCTGGTGATGGGCGATTCGGTCACGCACAGTCTGCTCGAGATCGATCGACGCCTGCTCGAGAATCAAAATCGACGTGGTTTCCTCGAGGAGATGATCATGAAGTTCCAGCGAGAGAAATCCGATTTGGAGATGCTCAGCCTCGAGCTGCAGAGTCGCAAGTTTCTGCTGCTCAACACGGTTATTGCTAGGAATCACGTCACGCCCCCATCTACAGTTACGCCCACGAACTCGCCGCCGCCCGTGATGCAATCAGCCACGGAAAACGCCGCTACTGATCCCGAAGCCAGCAAACCCAAGCAGCGCAAGCGTCGCTGTGTCCTCAAACGAGTACGCTTCCTGCCCAGACGCAGGCGTCCAGCCAAGCGCTCCAAGGAGCCCGCGGCGAACGATGAGGCTGGCAAGTCCGAAGAAGAAGTTGCTCCAGAAGTCGATCAGCCCAAAGAGATTACAGCGCCTATGCCCCAGCCCATGACTTCGCAGACGCAAATCAAGGTAGAGCCAAACGAACCCAGCGAGACGCCTGTTCAGTCCATCAAGGAGAATTACGTCGCCAGCAAACGGCCCCCAAACTCAACGTCTGCTAGGGAATCACCCAAGCGCCAGCGCTTGACCAGATCCGTGGCGGCAAGTATTGCACAACAACCGCTGGACATTATACCACCGCTGCAGCCACCGCCGCCGCCGCCGGAGCCCTTTGCCAACATGTCGTATGAGCTGCCGCGCAGCCTGCTGAAGGCCAACCCGCCGCCGCCGCCGCCGCTGCTGCCTCCGCCACCCGCCGACACCCGTACGACTGCGACTGTGGAGAGCTATAACTATGGGTTTATACCAATCGGACGATTGCATAACATCAGCAGTCCCATCACCCAGATACGCATTTACAAGGTGCACATCATAGCGGCATCGGAGAACGGCGATGTCTTCATGTTCAACATCGCCAGTCACAAGCTAGAGCGCCAGATCACCAAGCACAGCGAGGCCATAACGAATATGTTTTTGTGCGAGAAGGAATCGTTTTTGTACACCACATCCCTGGACGGGTTCCTCAAGAAATCCTCCCTCGAGGTGCGTACCTGAAAGACCTTTAAATATCAATCGATTTCTATAACCTTCTAATCCCCACCAGAATTTGGAGCGTGTCATGCAAACAATCTACCTAAAGGAACCCCTACAATCTATCGACATCGAGTGGGGCGTTGCGTTTATTGGCAGCCGTTGGGGCAATATTTTTACATACAATATTGCGGTAAGTCTTTAAATTGTTTCAAATATAACAGCCACAAAATATAATTAAAATTGATTGTTTTATGAAATAGAGAAATATTTAAAAAAAAATTTAAAAAATACCCAAAAATGGCTACAACAAACATTTCAAAATGTTGTCAATTTGAAAATCCACTTCGGTCGGCCGATATCTATTAAACAATATTTCGTTTTTCGCCCATCGCGGGTGAAAACTTACTCAAACATCCTTTTTTAAGCTCTACGTAAAATCTATTTGAATCAGCGTTTCAGCGATTTTGGCAATTCCACCCGCAACAGTGAAAACGGGAGGAAAATTTGCTACTTTTTTGTCTGCCGATCCGATGGCTTTACACTTATTTTCAAAGGTCTTTATGAAAATTTTCTTGGTACGACATTCAGAACTGTTCGATTCGAAAAACTAGAAAAGTAGTAAATTGTAACTCTAATCTATCCAGAGTACTCTCCTGAAAAATTCAAGTTTCCTCCCGCTTTTCACCCATAGGAAATATTTTTCGATTAATAAGTACTTTTTCGATGCTCCTATAAAAAAAACAAATTTTACACTTTCTAACTAAGCGGAAAAGATTTTTGACGAGCTCATATTATGTTAGCTGGAAAAATCTGGAAGCTTTTGCAAGGATGTTTAAAAATTGTACAACTTATCAAAAATGTATCAACCAAAACAGTTTTCACCTGTTCAAATGAAATTCTATTGATAAGGGAAGACTTTCCGTTAATATAAATATTTGCAGAGTTATAGAAAATTGATTGGAATCAATTGAAAGTCAACTGTGCATGAATAAAGAAAAGTATATTGTATATAAAAGAAACTACAATGTAGTCGAAAAATCTTCGTATGCTCCCAATTTTGTTAAGCAATTACTTTATATTTCGCCAACAAATGTGTTGCATACTTCAAGGCGCTATTTTCTACTAATTACGCTATAGTTAAATGATTTTTCGTGCTGCCGTAGTCATTGCTCTGGCCAAATGCCATGAGATTCGTACCTGGACTCGCATTTAATTAATGTGCGGCTCATTAAATATTTAGCTGTCAAATAAACACTTGAAAATATTCAATTAAAAAGTGAATAGCGCGGACTGGCATGCGGGCACAACGAATACGGCACACACTCACACACCTCCGCGTGGTCGTGTCCACACCTTGCCCATCGGCGGGAGCCAAGTGTAGCAAGGAAAACAACGAATTGGCATTAAGCAGCCATCGAACGAACCCAATGTCTAGACAATGAAAATCAAATCGAATTTATTTTTTCTTTCGCATTTCGCCAGCGATATACGCAAATTGGATGTGGTACGGTGGTGCGATGGTGCGTAGGTGAGGGGGTGCGCGGTGGCACGGATGATGGTGCAAAGCTGGCACTTCATTAGAATTTTGCGCTGAGGGCGAAGGCGATAAGTCTTAATTTTTTGGCAGCGTTCGATTTATGGCTGCGACGTGCGGATAATTCACGGCCGTTGCCTGAAAGTATGCTACAGAAATTTTTGCGCAGCATGCACCAACTGCTGCTTGGGCGACTGTACTTTTGGCCATAGCTGTACGTGTGCATGCCTTTAGTTATTTACTAAATAATAAGCTTCACCTAAACATCAGACACGCCCCGCTGCCATAGACCCAACCCGATCCGTATATGCATGCAAGAAGGCGTTGCTTCTTGCAATATTGCTTTGCTGCTATTGCTTGATATTTTGCTGTCGCCGTGTTGTGTGTTTTTATTTTGTGTGCGTGTGTGTGTGTGTGTATGTGATTGGCTTTGCTGCACGTTGCTTGGCCAAAAACCTAATACATAGTTGTATATAGGCAAGGCTGGGGGTTAGTTGCAACAAACAACAGCAAACTGCAGCGCAGGCTGCTTGCAGCGAGAACGCTGCTTCATTGCAAATTATCCCCCTCTCAATAGCGTTCGTTTTCGTTTTCGTGTTCTCGCTCACACACACTCGTTCCCTATTGTTGTTTATTTAAGTTTTTATGTGTTCATGTTTAGTTTACTGTATATTTTGCTGACTCACACTTTCTCGCTCACTGCAACGTTCATTGCCCGCTCGTGCGCTCTCTCACACTCTCAGTTCTGGCTCGGCTGTTAAACGTTCGTCGCTCTTCTATCACACTGTTATGCGCATGTCCCTTTCTGCTGCAGTTTCTTGTTGCTGCACAAACCGTTAGCTGGTTATCTGTGTGTTTCTTGCACTCATTCGTTAGATTCGACGTCGCGGCGACGACGCCAGCATCAGCAATTTGGCAGCAGCAAATAAAATGTTTATATGCTATTTACTCAAAACAATTTTAAATAAAATACAAACTATGTACTCACAACCAGGTCTCACTCACACTTCGCTCTCTCTCTCTCTCACACTCTCTCTCACTCTCTGGCTCATTTTGTCGGCTCTCGCTCTCTCTGTCGTTCGCTTATTGCAGACAAGGCCTTCCAAGGCACTGCAATTGGAATGTCTTCGGGCCTGTCGTTGTGAGTGTTGTTGTTATTCCCGTTATTGTTGTTGTGGGTGGTCTTTCTTGCTGGTTGGCTCCTGTTTTGTTGTGTTGTGTCTCTGGAAAATGACGCCGCCTGTCTGTATGCCTGTGTGTGCATGTGAATGTGAGTGTGGCAGCGCCGTTCTCTCATTGGCTGAGTCTGACGAATCGGGTTGGTTATTTGCCGGCACCAGCCCAGGTCCCGATGTATGTAAGTGTTGCTCGTTTATGTTGTTATTGTTGTTGTTTTGTAGCAACGGCATCCGACGCAGCAGCAAATTGCATACGGCCTTCGGTCTTTGTGGGTGTGGCAGGCGTACTTGCAACCACTAAATAAACAAAGCAACGCAACGCAACGGCAACGGCAACGAAATTGAGGATTTTAGGTGCGCCTCCAGCTATTTTAACTACATTTCTGTATTTGGCTGACTTTTTTTCTCCTTTTCTTGCACTTTGCAGTTGAAGGCGAACAGACGACGCCATCTTGCAATAGCCCCATCCATAACTGTACATATATGCACACACATATGTATGTATCTATGTATTTATGTGAACTGCAGCGCCTCCTTCTCCATCTCGCTCGTTTTTAATGTTGTTGAAATTATAGTGCCTTCCATGTCCTATATGTTTGATCAGAGTTTGATACGAATAGAGTGTAGGAGTCAGAGGGTGGACGCATTAATCATAGGGTGAACTCCAGGCACCTCCCGTTGTTTGTTTTCAGTTTAAGTTTCTGCCCGTTTTGACCACAGAATTTTCTAGATGTGGCTAGCTTTTTTTTGATTTAGCCTAATGGCTTTTGGAAGGTTCTCTAACAATCTAGAATGTTAATTAAAAAAGTTTTTTAATAATATCTGAGATATTATCAATATTAGACTACCTGATGAGTGTACAAAAAAAAATCATTCAAAATGTAGTTCAATATTTTGGCGTATTTCCAATTCTATAGACACAACATATAAATATACATTTTGCATAATTATAATAATTATGCTTATGATTATGATTATTATTAAAAATAGTTCAGGCTTCGTCCAATTAAAACCTTATCATATTGCCAATTGCGGCGTTGTCCAAACTATAGTCATAATCATATTACAGACTAAATTACAAATAATAGCAAATTCCAAATCATTTGCATTGATTCTTTCTTTTTTAAATAGATCTCTTAAGATTATTTTAAGTGTTACGTTTGCGTCTTCATTTATTAAAAGGCATTCTTATTAAATGCATCCTACATATTTTAATAACATCCGAAATGATAACCCACATATATAAATAAAAGTAAACAAAGAATTACAATTCTTTTATATATATTATAGCAAAATGCAATACATAATAAAACAATAATATTTTACTTAAGAATCGGCTCATATAGTTTTGTATCCAATCTCATACTGCGCATCAAAACAAACATTTCCATTATATAGAGAATGGCCGCTCCAAAATAGAACTGTTGTATACAATGTTTTTTACATTTCATACGAATTTGGTTGTAATCGGATCTGTCCCTAAGACACAATCAGTCAAAAGTTGACTAGCACCTAAACTTTAGTCTGAAGGGTTAACTACCTCCAATTTGATAACATTGTATTTCTTTAACCAGAATTTCGCAAAGATTAGATTTCAATATCATTTGGTTGCCAAAGGAGCAGCTAAAAGAGCATTAAATATTTGACAGCCCAAAGGTAACTGTTTTTATTGTTCTTATCAGGTTTTTAATCGTCGTGAATCACATTCAATGTTTATTGTGTTATCGATTAACTGTGATCAAAAAATTATCTTCTGCTTGAAGCAACAAAAGGTTGTTATCTATAGATAAAGGGAAAGGTGTTGGTGATAAATAAAAACAATTATATTCGTTATAATAAAATAAAGTCAAATTAATAAAATACAGAAATAATGAGAAGCAGTTTATAAAGATTTGAATGAATAGCTAGAGTAAAGTATAAATATATAATCTATTATAAATAGCATTATATACGGAGAAATATGAAAGAGAAATAAGAATGGAAACTTATTGAAGCAATGGTAGTTAATTTTATTGGCTCGCTTAGCAAACTAAAATAGAAAAGTGTGCAATTTTTTCCCAATAACACATGTATATTACTTACAAATAAAAGCAGTAAAAGTTAAATAATTCAGTTATCTTGATGTGCAGACATGAATATGTATCATATGTACGACGATACGTGTATTCCTCAGCCACACAACCGTGTTTTCATACAACTTAATTTAAGGCGAACAGTTCTTAAAACTACTCAAAGATATAATATTTTTAAATAAGTCAATCAAAAAAACTGCAAGGAGCAAGTTTAGTTAGGATTTCTTTAGTAACATGCTTTTATCAGAGCTGCAAACCCCACCAAATTGCCGATCGTTCAGTTTACTGAGCTAAAAACTCTCTGTGAGGTTCGCGGTTTGTGAACTTAGTTTTTTACATTCGTAATGCCAGGATTACTTTTCAATACTTGCTTTGTTATATATATATTGAAAATGGCCATTAATATTTGGCATCTACCATATATAGTTGCATAAATCTTTGATCCCCAAGTTATTTAAGCGTTGGAGCTAAGTCGCCCTCAGAAGTTTTTCGTTTCGAGCCAAACAAGTTGGTTTGGTTCTGCTGGTTCTTAGGCTTAGCTTATTTTTGCAAATGTCTTGGTTTAAGATTCGGTTCATAATGGACAATTAATTTGTTTTTAGTGCGAAAGCAGTTAAAAGCCGGTCGATAGTAGCTTTTGCTTTTATAAGTTTAAAAATATCACATAATTTGTCACCCAAGGCAATGTATATTTATACGATTGTGGTTCAGGAATAAGTGTGGTCCGTTCTCTGAAAAATATCTTCCTTAAGCCAAATTTAATGCCATAACTTGTTAAAACCCATATGATATAGTAGCTTTGTAAATAAAGTATAAAAGTGCAATTTAATTCCTAAAATCTGTTTTTATTTGCAAGTTTGATTATTTATTTAAAACAATATCTGAGTAAATATTACATTGACAATAAATAATAGCTAATGAAAATCCAATTTAGCGCAGGTGATTAAAAATGCTATCTTATCTTTGATTTGTTAAATTGGAAACGGGCCCCAAAGTATATTGAAGATAGTCAAATATATTATAAATAGTTTTTAGCCACAAGTCTATTTATAAACATCTTTAAAGCTCCCTGGCAATGTGGGCTACGTATAGACTTGGCGTGCGTACAACATATTGAAAGAGAAATGAAATCAATTTGTTTCTTTCATGACGTTGCACATTTGATACAACAATAAATAAAAATTACAATGCCAAGCACATTCATTCAGTCAGTAAATCGAATTTCGTGGTATAACGCATTTTTAAAGCAATTGACAAAGCTCGTATGGGCCAATAAATGCAGAGCATGTACAACGGGGATGTAGCTCAGATGGTAGAGCGCTCGCTTAGCATGTGAGAGGTACGGGGATCGATGCCCCGCATCTCCAGGAGTAATAAAGTTACTTTTTTAGTCTTTTTTAATTATTCAAGATATTAAAAAGGATTGACTCTTTGCATTTGCAGGCCAACAAAGTGATGGACACGCCTCTGCTGTCCACTGGGCAGTCGATTATCGCTGTTAAGGCCACCAAGGAGGGCGTGCGCAAGATTATTCTGCTGGGCTGCAAGGGAAACTTTGTATTCATGCACGATGCGGCCACCGGATTGCTGTTGCGTCGTCTTAGCATACCCGATGGTCTCAATGTGTACAGCTTACTCCTGATTGATGGTCACGTCTTTTGTGGCACCCAAAAGAATGAGGTGTTCAAATTCGACTTTGCCGTGAGTAATATCCTTAAGACAAATATATATTTGAAGGCTAATTTCCTACTTTAAACATATGTAGAGCGGTTCGATGACCAACACGCTGAGCTGCGGTAATGGTGCCGTCGCCATGGCCCCATATGGAGAAAGATATTTGCTCATAGGCTGCTACGATGGCTTCATCTATGTACTGAACAAGGAAACTGGCCGTCAATTGGGTCGTTTCAAAGGACCTGGACGTTTAGTTCTTGCTCTGGCCATCGCCGGCGATAAGGTAGCTATTCGATATATCTAAAAATGGACTGTAAATTAAATAAACTTTTGATGTACTCGCAGGTCGTCACTTCGTCAAAGGACAACTCCTTGGAAATATTGGAAATACCGTCAGAATTGTTCAATCTGGATCAGTCAGCTTAAATAATTGAGTGATCTGTAATTTTAATACAAATTCTATTTTCTGAAATTTTCGACTTAGTTATAGTTTTAAAAATACTCCTTTCAATAATTTAATTTAGGAGCCTTTCTTCTGTATTTACAATTAAAAATGTTTAATTTAAAGCTCTGTATTATTGTGTTAGCGGTTAATATGATTGAAGATTATTTCTTCACCGCGTAAAATAACTAAATAGCAATCAAAATTTAATGTATAAATGTATATGTATATTTTATGAAGATTGCTAAGGAATACGTATTGCTTGTCATGTTTTATATGATTTTTAAGGGATTTGCGGTACACGCACTGGACGCACATTCGTTTGCATTTGATGCAGCTTCTGGTTAAGCTTGTGGGTGTGATCTCTCAAGTAGGCAATAAGATCCGCTTGCTTCTCAAGCAGCTCTGCCGTATCACCGCCAGGCTGCATAAGGCCCAACGAACCACCGGCACGATCAGCACCACGCAAAACATCCGGCGACAGCTTAGCCTTGTTGAATTTGCTCACCTTATCTGCAGGACATTACAGGAAACGCATAAGTTTTCTTTTCAAATATAGCTTAGGCTCAAAACTTATTACCTATATAGCAGCCATGGGTGGCAGCGAGCACCATATTCTCGGCCACACTGAAAGCAGTGACATAGCTTATAGGCGACAGCCAGCCGGCGGCGCAGTGCGTCCAAAACTGCTCGCCATAATAGTGATGGATCATCGCTTGTACGGCCAGCAGCATAGAGTTCCACAGTGAAACAATTTGCAGTGGGATTCCTTTTTGCATGTTCGTATCGCGATGGAAATCGTGGTAGCCATTCAGGCGTAAATCGTCATGCTGCTTTTTCACAAAGTGATCGAAAATCTGCAATAGTCATTAAGTTAGGTCGTTAGAGCAAATACGCTTTTATACACTTGCTACTTACGAAGGTGATCACCCAGAATGTGGCGCGAAGGTAAAGCATTATAAAGTATGCGTCGCAGCGGCGATCCTCGGGCCAGAGCGCCCCCAGACCAATGCCCACACAAGAAATGACCGTGGAGATAAGCAAATGTATGCTAGGAAAAACAAATACATACGGAATGAGCTATATTCATTGGTATATGTTAATTGAGTTGCGCAGCTGATATCAGCAAATGCATCACCCCTTCAACAGTATGATTCATAGCATCACCGGCTGCCTGCATACATACATACCTGAATGCGGGCACAGTTTTCAGCTTAAATGAACCATTGTCGTCCGAGAACAATACCGGATCGAGCAGGTCATCGGTGTCCTGGTTATGGACGTGCGAACCACCGGCCGCTATAGCTGCGCCTGTTGCTTCATTATCCATTTTCGGTTGTTGTCTGTGTTTTTTTTTTAGTATTAACTGCGCAGCACCTTATTAATACAAACTCGCTTTGTTTATTGTTTGTTGGCGGTGCGCTTGGGACTTTTGGTGTTGCCAGACCGCAGTCAAAGTTTTTTGTTCGAAAAATATCGATGGTTATTAATGGGAGCAAAATATCGATGGTTTATAATAAATATTCGAAAATATACAAAATGGACATCAATAAAAATATTTGAATTTTAAATTTGATGACAAATTAATTAAATTGCAGCTATTACTGCAATGCTGCCTAACTTTTATTTAGTGTTATTTAAATTCTTGATAACAAAAATAAGGAAATCGATTTAACATATATCGATATGACGAGTGGTTTTGATCGATGTATCGATTGCACAATAGCAACCCTAAGCAAATTAAACAATCCGAGGGATTTGTTGATGCACAAATTCAAATTGAATTGTGACCCAATTGTAAAACAAAATTGAAAAAAAAAAAACAACTACTGGTTATAAATGACTACACCTGCACCACGCCATGTTAGAGATTTGTTGGCATTTGGTACAGACTCAGAAGATGAATACAGCATTACACCCTGCAAGCCGAAAAAAACAAAGGACGCGGATCAAGCTGGTAGCCGCAAACTGGAAGCAATGTAAGTTATTTAAATAAAAGAGTGCAATTGCTAACTAGCTTAAATTGCAGCGACAATGGAAACAAAGAGAATATGGATCAGAAAGCCATTGCGCGCAACCAAGGGGCCAAGGAAAACCGGCAAGCTGGCCCTTCTCATGTTTTGTTGTAAGTGTGCTTCCTTGGTTAAGGATAAGACGATTGCTGGAATTTCATTGAGTTTTCAATTACAGCCCCAGAAGACGTGCAGAGATGACCATGCTGGACTCAGACAGCGATGATGAGGATAATAAGAACAACCACAATTTGAATTGCGCCATTCTAAACGACTCCTTTGTGCTGAGTCCTACACATGAGCTGACTGGTAGCACCTCAACTGTACCTTCCACAGCGGCGATGGCACTGCGCCCCAGTGATTCCAATTTGTCCTTTCTTGGCCGTTTTGGGAACATGGATATCAATTGCAGCACCAACACCAATAAGTCACCTCATCTGCAAGTGGAACAGCAACAAAAACATCAGCTGCCAATTAAAAAACCACCGCCCTCCACGCTGCAAATAATTGCAGAGCAACGCAAGGCCGTGGATAGCGAAACGCCGATGCGTGCTGCTCCAGCGGCCTCTTTAAAATCCCATGCCAAGCCCGAGACGGAATTTGTGACGCCGCAGGTGTGCAGCATTGCCACAAAGCATGGCACTCGCACGCAAACCACTCAAAAAACTCGCATCGAACTGGCAAATGAGTTTCGCTCGCAGAAGGTGCTCTTCCAGACGCCCATGACTGTCAGTCGAGCCGCGCCCTTTACAAGCGACAGCCTTACGTTTTCGCTATGCGACACAATTAGCGAGAGTCCCGATACACCCGCTCAGCCACGGCCAAAAGCAGAAGCGCCCACCACCAACAAATCAAAAAAGTCGCTTGATGGCGCATTTCGTCATGCTGAGCAGGCGAAACCTGAATTGGGCTCGTCAGTTGCAGTGTCAGTACCCGTGTCCGCGTCCGTGTCCGCACCTGTGTCCGCTGCTACTGTACCTGACAAACCAGATACATCATCGAAATCGAATTCCAATGTGCTGCAAATCAAGAACCATGAGTATGTCATAGTTAAAAAACTGGGCTGTGGCGGCTCCAGTTCTGTTTATTTGGCACGTCGCAAGGATACGGGCCAGGAGTTTGCTCTTAAAGTGGTAGATCTGCAAGCCGATCCGGTCGTGGTGCAAGGCTATCTCAACGAAACCAAACTGCTCGAGAAGCTCCAGGGCAATGTGTGCGTTGTGTCCCTCTATGACTAGTGAGTAAATATTACTTTAATACGAATATAAGACTAAAACATGAAAGAAGAGTTTAATCTCGATCAGCAAGCTTATATGTACTATATGCTTGTGAAATCTTTATCAAAAGACTTCTTAACTATTAAAGTCGTCTATTTGATTTGTGATACTTGTAAAAAAAAAAACCCCTACAAATTCGGACAACAGACTAGAATTATTCAAAAACATAAACTCAAAAATAACTTATTTTGGTTTTATATGAATTTAAATCATTACAGTTAAAAATCAAGAACAGCCTCCAAGGGGAATATTTTTATTTTCAAAAACAATATATGTCCTTGATCCGCATCAACAGTTGAGCCTAGCCTAGGTCATAGCTAGGTCTATCTGTTTATATGCCAGACTCTTATGAGTCTCGAGGAGTCTCTTAGTTTTAAAGCTATCGTCTCATCTTTTTCTTGCAATCAGTATATATGCCGGAGTCGGATTAATCGGACCACTATATAAGGTCATGGTCGAAAATTTAGATAAAGAAAATATTTGTTTTTAATATGTCTTGAATCTTTCACATCATATAGTCTGATACCAACAAGTTATCGGAAATAAACTATTTCCATTATTGTCATTGTTTAACTTTGATTGATATAAATATAACCTAATGTCTATTACTGATTGTAATTAATTGGTGATTGATCACTGTTTTTACCACAGTCAACTGTTGCGGCAAGAATCGAAACTCTACATGGTGATGGAGAAGGGCGACTGTGACTTGAACAAGATCTTGCAAGGATTTACGACAAATTTGCCACTATATAATCTGATGAACATACTCTACCAAATGCTGCAGGCAGTCAATTATATACACCAGAACGGTGTCATTCATTCGGATCTGAAACCTGCTAATTTTCTGATGGTTAATGGTCGGCTGAAGCTAATCGATTTTGGCATTGCAAGCAACATTTCTGTGGACTCGACAAGCATAATCAAATTCTCACAGGCGGGCACATTCAACTACATCAGTCCGGAAGCACTTACCGACATTTCCAGCGGCACAAGTCCGATGCGCGGCAGCAATCAGCCCAAGATAAAGATTTCGACAAAGTCGGATGTTTGGTCGCTCGGCTGCATTTTGTATTTGCTGCTATATCAGAAGACTCCATTCGGGCACATTAGAAACATCAATGCCAAGATGAGCGCCATTGCCAATCCCAGCTCAAGCATCGAGTATCCGGCTCTACCAATTTACTATCCGCTGATGCTAGTGCATGTGAGTACATATATTGGCTTGATTCAATAATATGCAGAGGTAAAAACCTTTTTATATTCCGCACAGATGGTCAAGCATTGTCTGCAACTGAATCCGAAGAAGCGGCCCTCGTGCGTAGAACTACTTCAGTATCCATTCCATATGGTAATTCCCTTACAGAATCTTCAATTGGCGTCCAAGCGCTGACTACAAGTTTACAGAATATCTCTCCATTTAGTATTAAGCACATTTACATTTGATGATAGGAGTAAAACACAGAAATATAATGCACTGAATTTTCATATGTGTGTGTGTGTATTTAATTCTCGTTTAGCATAAATGATACATCATAAATATTTATAATGCAGCGCCCAGATCGGCTATCGATACTCCAGCGTTTAGTGCTGATCGATAAGAACGCTATCTGCGACCTGTTTGCTTTTGTTTTATTTTATTGTGTATTCAATTTGTTCTTGTCTAATTTAACTTTTAATGTAATGCAACAAGTATTAACATTAATTGCCAATTTTCTTTCCGTTACCTTTACCCTTCGCACAACAATTTTAACGGCGATGCGTTCGTGTCTGTGTTTGTTTGTAATTTGCGTTTACTTATAAATTAAGTTTGTTTTTAATAATTTTTTTATATGT